GTTTGATTTCGATTGAAGTATCGCCAAACCCAGCTCTCCGGGGTTTTTGCTTTTGGAGAAGTCATGCTGCCCATGAGGGTAGCTCCATTATTGACTGCCATATGTAAACTCCTTGACTTAAATATCCTCATCTCCGACATTCATCTCGACATTCATGACGTCGGACCTTCGCTTTGAACCTCACTTCGAATTCTGGGGACACCGGCTACAGAACCGGTTTCCCGACATAATTGGTATTCCAGTCGAGAAGCCGGTCCCGAATATGACCGGTTTGTCGCGACCTCTAGTTCCGATCCTCATTTCTTGCGTTCATCCCTTTCTCATCCATCTATGAATCCGCCGATCGAATTTGGTGTCATTAATCAATCGCAGAAGGCTGAGATTGGAGCTCTCGAGTGGTGCCGAAGAACGAGAGCCGCGAGTTCATAGGTCGTTCCTGAAGTCGGAGAGGGAATGTATCAAGAAATGGTAATAATAGTGTTTTAGGGAGGACTCAGCAAAAGATCGCACAATGGTTCGAACCTGGGTCCCGCTGGTATTGTGGTCCTATCCGTGACGATCTCATGCTTGCGATCTTGCGATTTTCCGAGCACACAACTTTCCGCTCCGCACATTCATTTTTCTGGCGCATTTTATGAAGAGACGTCATCCAATGGAAGCGAGTCGAGAGCGACGCAATTCTACCCGAGCTTCGCCAGGGACCTTGTTGCGTAAACAGCCCATTGATCCGGAATAGCATGAATATTCTGACAGCGGGCCGTGCCGGTAAGTCATATATTCATAAAACACCGTATGATTAATGATGTCGTCGAGAATGTCTTTTGGGTATTTTTGAACTTCGAGCTCGAGTACTCAGAGAGCACTTGTGCTTGAACGCTTGAGGAGACTCCCTTCTCCGGTAGCACCCTTGCGCCGAAAAGATCACAGATTTTCTTGCCGACCCGCGCCCAAGACTGATCTCCGGATTCAGACTAGGGAAGCGTCGACCGAGGACATGGAAAAACAAGCATCCGAGTTTCATATAATTCCATTCAGAGTTGGGTTCTTCCCTCGAACCGTGGCGGGTGTACACACGGACAGGGTCGGCGGCAAGAACTTGAAATCGCGAGATCCGTAACATGATCCGATCAGAGGAGGTGAACGCCCCCCTCATAATTCGGAGCCTATCTCAGCATTATCCTCCCTTGCTCAGAAGGTCGCGAGCTCGAGCACGCCCGGTCTCCTCATTTCGGGACGCGGATTACGTGGGACCGACTTCGACTGACATAATTCGCAAGCGCGTTGTCTACGCTCCTCCGTCAAAGCCACCGTCAAATCTGGATTAAGAGAGTCATATCCGGGACGCGATGATTCGGCGGTAAAAACGTATTGAGTCACGGCATTCGGCTGCGAATGCTCCCAAAATTTTCGAGCTACGTAGCTGACAAAGCGTGGGAACTCATGGAAGGGAAAAAACCGTCACACAGTCCTGCCCGTGATCCCAGCTAATCATTCAGGACTTCCTCTGGTGTTTGATGCGAAAAGTCCACCGACCTGCCTCTCACAAGAATGTAGTACACGGAGGTCTTGATCCGCTCGAGAAAGAATCCCGATGAATCCTCTACCCGTATAAATTCAATTGATTGCGTTTCATGCATATAGCCTGGCTTCCCGTGATGATGAAGCAGACGGGAAAAAATCCCTTAGGACTCACAGCATTAAACAGTATAGAGAGCCTAGAGAGGATGCCGTGAAGTCAACATTCTACGTGTACTAACAGCCTTCGGCGGAGCACATGATGTGTATTCCAGTGATCATGTTAGAGCCCGTCATGTTTCGACTCCGATCAGAGGCTCAAGCGCTGTTTCGGATCCTGGCCATCGATAGGCAAGTTACCTGATCCCCGAGTCTTCGGAAACGGGTGCGCTGTCGCGGAAGGTCCGACCCGAGCAAATCGATATACCTTTGCGCGACCTACAGAGCGACCTTTTCGGCGAATACCTTCTACGATTGGGGAGGGAGAGCCCGATTCCTCGAGTGGAACACTTCTACTTTTATGACACAAATCAGCGTGATCAATCCTAGGTGATTTGTAGCGAAATGAAAAGCCGCTAGCGGAAGGATCCGTTCTCAAGCAGCGAGCCCCACACACGTCGGCGCAGTTTGTCTCTCCCGCGACAGAGTGTTTGTCAATGTAATGTGTTGTGTCAATGTGAATAAGTGAATGAATGTGTTTGTGCGTTTGTGCCCGAGCTACGCTCGTTGGAGAGGCACATTACACGCATGTTGGTTGCTTAAATGACACTCACTGCATTCGGCGGCGAGCCATCCGAATGATAGATCTATACCCTTACTGTCATTTCTTTCTCTGATCACCACCCGAGCGTCCCGGGGATTTGCCGCGGAAAGTATCTTCTTTCTCGGGAAGTATCTGTCCGGAAACTCAGATCCAGATGGATGGCTCGGATCCGGCCGAGTGGATGGAATCACGAAGTTGGAGGGCTGAAGGATGGGAAGGATTGATTTGGAGGAAATTTTCCAAGGAGCGGGGAATCGATTCGAAAATGCCTGTCGAGTCGAATACGAAACCGCTCATTCAGTCACCTATACCGCTCTGGAGAATTTCATTGTTCTCCTATCAACTGGCGCTCCCCACCCCCACTCAACCTATCCATCCATCCGTCCGTCCTGGTAGCTATCGAGACCGCACACTAGCCACCTGCTGCGTTCAGCGGAGCGTTCGGAGCCGGCTATTTAAATGGCTCCCTGAAGCTGCAAGCCAATTTCCCAATGGTAATCACAGTCGTCAGTAAGTAATACACTTATGTGGCTCCCTCCTCAGCGGTGTCCTCTTTGCTGGCCAGTCAGCCAGCAAGCAAGCAAACCAACCGGGCGACTCTCTTCCCCCCTCCATTCCTCTTGCTTTCGGTGGGCTCGCTGCTGCAGCACTCGAGTCTTCGATTGTCGAAAAGACGGAACTCGACCGACCTACGGTAGGTAGCGGCAGCTTTTCTAATATATGAGCCTGCTATAGGTTCGTTGGGACCTGGGCTCGTTGGTAATTTATGCCGATGACCCTCGGAAAGTTTCGCGCTGTTGAGCTTTGTAGGGAGATCGCTCCGCTTTCTCTCACTCATGCGTTCAGGTTCTCGGTGTCTCGCTCACTCTCTCTCTCTCTCTGACGCTCATTGGTCTGCTCAGCCGGCATTCTGCGCGCTATCAGAGAATTGAGATGCTCTTTAACTCCGCATCCGTCTAGCTCAGCTTCGTGCCGCGGTCTTCCAACAACGCATTGTGAAGGGAAGCTCTTGACATACACGATGGCATGACAGCCTTCGACGCAGATAGACTAAGAACTAGGGAATCTCAATCGGGTCCATCGAACGTTCGTCATTGAAAATCATTGGGCTGGGAATCGGGTAGCATGGGATTAAACAAATCGGGAGTACAGGCGGCTATTATCCAGAATATTCGCAGACTTCACGCCGTCTCACAGAATTTCTGAGCGATGCCGTTTCCCATCGAGATTGGGACAACTGCAGAATCGGTATGGTGATTAGCGGGTGTACCTCGATATACCCGGCAATAGAATATTCTTGACCCATTTCTTCAGAGGCTGGCCGATACGCTCGACTGCTCGAAGGCAAGCTGAGCTTTCATCAATCAGTTAGCGCTTTCATTATGTTGCCCTTCTCCCTTGGCTTATTTTGACGAGAGCTTGCCAACCAACAGCCTGTCGGCTCGCGAGCCATCCCGCCCGGTCCAGCCGTGCTCTCCGAGAGCCGGCCTGACGACGTCGTCGCTTTCTGAGAGCCTGCTTGTCCGTGTAGCATATTGAGTGAGAGACAGTCGGACTGGCAAGCTGGCTGGCTGGGTTCCTCGCTCAGCTCGTCTCCCCCTGCATCTTTTTCGGGTCGTAGTTTTTTAAGTCGGCACTCCTCTCCGTCAAAAATAGCCGTGTGACGAGTGTAAAGCGACTGTGGTGTCATCATTACCCTTCGATTGTCACTTGTTAGCTAGAGCCCGGCGAGTCATGGGCTCGATTCCTCTGCTCCAATTTCCTTGAGAGCTCGCAAGAAGTCAATCTCAAGCAACTAGCTCCTCCTGTCTGTGAAATTAGGGAAGTAATTCCGCGGTCCGAACATTTAGGAGCCAGATATTAAATAGTGATAAAGTGATAATTATTGATTCTGATAGCCGCGATAAGCGTCTGAAATCCCGGCCTCCATGATCAGGGAATGTCGCCTCCAGACGCGTTCACGATTACCGACCGCCGGTGCTTACGGCCTTAGAATGACGACTCAGGAATTCGAGACAGTCGTAGATTCGAAAACGAAGTGCAGCTCCCTACTTTACTGAGCCGGTGGCGACTCTCGTCGTTCTCTTCAGTAAATTGGTTTTATTTTTGGAAGTCAAAACATAGCCGAGTTGCAGTGGGATTTCTTTGGAAAGCCACTCGACGACGAGACAACTAGTGGCTTTGCTGGTAGTGATCTCGAAGGTAGCCACATAAAAGCCTCGCTTTCACCCTCTGATGTTTCGAGGGAAACATGTGCGCTTTTTTGAGAAGCTGGCAGAATAAGGGAGCTGGCAACATAAACACACACACAAGTGGGAAGTCTAGAGATAGAATCGGAAGTCGCGTTTGAGCTGCGGTCTCTGCTTCTTTCCGAGCCGGATCTCTAATGATCAGCGGAGAAAGCTAGTGAGCTTCTCCTCCGTCGAGCAAGTGCAATCATAATGAGCTAATCTCAGTCGCTCGAGCGGTGGCTCGAAAGAACAATATTAGCGAGTTCTCGAGTTTGTCAAAAGGAGGGCTGCGTGGACCCAAAGGCTGCGAGGGAACTATTGCTGGATATTGAACCACTTGAGGCAACGTCTGTCGAGCTATTCCTTCGAATTTCGCCTTAAATCGGTCTAGAAAAGCTTTGCAGTGAGCGTTCGAAAATAGACACACACTATCACGAGATTGTTAAGATTTATTAAGCACAAACATTGCCCCCGAGGAATCAAGGCAACTGCTCAGAGGAGCGAATCAATCGACTTTCAGCTAACGTTCCGCTTGTTTGTCGTGGAGCGTTCTCGTCCTTCTGTACCGATCTCTCGACCATCGGGTTGCTGGATCAGATCAATCGCGCTTAGGATTCATTCGACGTAGTCCAGGTCTTCAGGTATGTTGAACATTCGATTCACTTCCCCGCTGCTTTTATCGAATTTCTTCATGACCCAAGATCGAGTGTTGAACAAGTTGTCGGTCCATCGATTGACCCTAGAATACGCAGTGAAAATAAAAAACTTTCCCCGCGCTTGCCACTGATCAGCTGGAAGATGCCGCCCCGTTACGAAATTCCCCAACGAGCGGGTAGACTCTCCCATGGCTCCATGATGAGAGGTCACGGAGCGAAGCTGGAGACGAGCAGACCGACGAATTTCAAGCTTCCAATGATTCCTTCGCTCTCACGCCTCGTATCGGTGTCACTATAATAATAACTCTCCTCGCGAATTTACTCCTTACTCGGATGAAGAGAGAGGAACTTTGCTCCCGCAATTGAGGGCTCCTCGATGGAATCGGCCGCCGAATTCGTGTGTCCGATGAGGATGACAGAAAATGGCGACTCGGAAGGAATCCTACTTTGCCTAGACGAGTAGGTGATCATCGCTCGATTCAGCTTCCCCCACCTCTGCCTCAGGCTTTCTGATTTCTGTCAGAAATCGGTCTGGCCGGAGGCTCCGATGATCATAGGCGACAGACCAAGAAGTCTCAGGCCGAAAGAAATGCGAATCGTGTCCACTTCGCGATTCCTGATCAAACTCCTAGAGCCGAGACATCGCGAATCGGAAATCACGCTAGGGAACATCGGCCGCGGCTCAGGACTGGATACTCACGCTGACGTGGAGTTCTTGATTTCTTTCTCGAGTTCGTCCATGATTTTCGGATCGTTCTCGACGAGTTTCTGGTAGCGGTCTGCTAGTATTTTGTTCTCCTGCTGCAAGCGTTCCAGATCGGCCAAGACCTCCTGCGGGAATGAGTCGACTGTCACTCATGAAACTTCAACGCTCTCCGGACTGCATGGTCCCCCCAAAATGTCGATAATCACATCGAGCGAGACGACTTCAAGGAACTTTCGGAATAGAGACCCTGAATGGACCAAAACGCACCGACATGTCGCCTTGCTTGTCGCCAAGCGCTTTCTCCTCTTCGAGATCCTTGAGAATGCCGCTCTGGAGTTCACGGAGCTTCTTCAGCTGCTCACGGAGCTCCGTAAGACAAGCTTCCCGTTGTCTACTCACTGCGGGAGTACCACGATGGCTTCAACGAACGATGGCAAAAGAGCCGCGAGGAAACAATTACATTCTGGCACATTTTCTCCGAATTCATATACGAGTCAAAAGTCGTATCCGGGAACATGCCTTTTCCTGGAAACGCCCAGAAATATACGGAAGTGCCGATCCTGTCCGATTCAACCAGATTGTCGTCCACGAGTTCCTTGAGAATACCTTTCACCGCTTGCAGCACAACACCCTTCTCCGTGGAAGCGATCTTCTCAACTTCTTTCAGCTGGAACACCTTATCATACGATGTCATTTCACCGTCCATCCTTCCTGATCAGAACCCGCCGGCGGTTACAGATCGCTTCCGCGATTTGTACTTCGGAGAGAGATGATTGCTGAATGATCGACACCCCGGTTGTCGAAAAAGTCGGCGGGGAGAAAGCTCTTTTACCTCCTTCTTTTTGACGAAGATATCCAGAACTCGCTCCCGTTTCTCGTCTGCGCTCAGACCTTTCCTCTTAGCCATTATCCAGGCAACGATCGCTGCTCGGCAAGGACGAAACCACAAAAATTTCCTTGCAGATCATACGAGCATTCTTATCAGGTCTGTAAACAAATACACAGCTGGGCATGACGCCCGAAACACGTTCCCCAAGACGTCATGAAGCTGGACGTCGCGCGAATATCACATGGAATCCCGGTACTGAGGGGAGCACCGACGCTCAGCGGTGGAAAATTAGGAATCATCAGGCGCCTCGAGAATTTCACAAATTCAAAGCGCGTCGGCGTTATCCGTAAGTCGCAATCCGATAATAATTATGTTTCTCGATGCGTGCCGTGCGATACGAGTTGCGAGAATCCCGAGACATTATGTCGTCTCCCTGAGCTTGAACAAAGATCGACTCGATCGGTGACTTTTGAATGAATAGACAGCGGTACTTCCGTCGGCTTTACGCAGCGATGCATCCGAGGACAAGAGTCAATAAGACTATCATTTGTAGCGGCGACCAAGTTTTCCCTTCCGAGAAAAGCTCTCGACGGGTGGTTCTGCACCGCGAGTTCAAGTTCAAGGAGCACACGAGGTCTGAGTCATCTCCCAACGAATATTCAACGCAGAGTTCTCGTCTTCATGAGGCTTCAACGTTTTTTCGCAAAACTTCGGTGGTCTGCGGAAGACCACCCCTCTCCCGCCATGTCTCGACCGAATTCTTCTACCGATTGGGGGAAAATTCGCAGTCAGAGACCGAACCCTCTGTCTTCCACAGGCGTGTCTTTCAACACATGTTCATAATTGTACCTTATATCTCAGGCTCCGAAATTTTGTTACATGAGTGCGTGTCATGACGATCGCTCATGAGTCCGGGCCCTCGACCGGATGAATTCAAATACAGAAACAGAGACATCGTTCGCACAGAGCGCTCGGGATCCTCCCACCGCAGAATCGTTTCAATGTTTTTTGATGCGAATATAAATATGTGTTTGTCCGCGCTCGCTGGCAATGCTTTTTCTCTTCTCGCTTTCCATCTGCAGCTCTGATGCACTTATATTCCGGATTGACGGATGCCTCAGACGCCATCGTTTGTCCATCTATCTATCTGCCGCTCACTACTCTCATGTCCCTCCGCGATGACTTTTCTACCGCACTCTCTCGGCTTCTTGTTCCCTCCAGAGTCTCATGGAGAGGCAGAAGGAAGCGCGGAGTCACAAAAAAGAGAAAAGACAGCCGACAAATGGGTGGTTACTTTTTGGATGCGCTCTACTCTTCATCTGCTTTTCAAACTTATGGACAGAGAAAGTGCGGACTCTCTTTATGATGGGTCTTCACTGCGTTTTTCCGCTACCCTGCCGCCGTCGCTGTTTTTGTCGTTGTACTCATTGATGACAGCTGTACGAAATTCGCGTCCCGCCCCAAGACGTTCGGTCCCTCTGCGTCTCTGCCATTTCCAAGTTTCAGAAAACTCGAGGAGGTATCAAGAGGATCTCAAGACTTGGACTCGGAATTCGAGCGTCGATTCGACCTCCCCGTTATAGGGGGCTCGAAACAAAATAATGAGCGGACTCCGACTACAGCGATTTCGAATCCGAGGGAGCTGCTGGGTTGAGCTCCATCGCGACGCTATCATACCGTCCGGGACCAGACGTCGAAAGAGCCCGTTCCCGAGAAGGGAGCCTAAGGAAACGTGAGATCAGGGAGTTTTCGCTTCGGAGAACTCTCGGAGGGCATAAACGTGGTGAGGATAAATCGCTCGCGCCCAATCGGTTTCATATTTTCAGGGCTCCCCAAGCCGAGTGGGAGAAGTCATTACGTCGTTCATTGAGTCCAATTGAGAGCTCAGACTACGTGTGACAAACGTACAGGAGCGCAGCAGCCAATGGAGTATGAGAGAGTCGAAGACGACCGAGGGTGGAAGACGGTCCCTGATCGTTGCAAACGCTTTGGACGAATTATTACGCGTTCGTGATCGCAGAATTTACGCACAGCCCGCGCTGAGGTGCAAGCGATTTCGGGAGCGATCGGAACTCCCGCTACCCCGCCAGAACACACCGATTACCGAACAGTGCATTCGTTGGAAGGAGTTACCGTAATTATTCCAGTACAAGCCCCTCTCCGGTAGTAGCCCGTCTCGGACAGGAGCTCCCTGAGGGGAATCGGATCAGATTCCGAGAAGCTCTGTTCCAGAACATAGGTACCTCGATTTTCAGAAGTCCCGAGGAATCCAGCTTTCTGAAGTCTCTTCTTCCCAATCACCGTCCTTGCACGACCGCTTGTAGAATGATGAAGAGCTCCCCTGTAATAGAAGCCCCTCACCAACAGGAGCCCCTCTGCGAAAGGGTTTGAAAAAATAGAAGCTCGGGCTTGTATTGGGATATTCACGGTATGTGCCTTAGTGTCCGGACCTCGGGATGCGGTAGCAGTCGTCGAAGATCATCGAAAACATCCAGAGGAGTAATGAGAAGATTTCTGAGCCCCTTCTTTTCCTTGCCGCAATCTTGTCTGTGGGTGTGCCCTGCTGATCCCCGAATGGGTCGCGGGCGAATCAACCATCAAACTTCACGGACTCTCGGCGAGTGGTATGTCTATTCTAGAGCGCGGTGTCCAATGACACCGAATCTCCTTTTTAGAGCTAAAACTGGAGGGAGGCGAGCTTCGGCCACGCTGTACGCCTGGGGGTCGGTCCGTCCGTCCGTCCGGGTCGGCAAAGGGGCAAACGGAGAAGGCGAGGCAAGGAAAGGCACAAGAAGCCCATTGAGACAGTGGATTGTAGCTGCTAACACAGCTCCATATTCTGTTCACAAATTCCGCGAAAGTGGCCTCGGTAGAGCACTTCAGCATGGCGGCCCGCAACGAGCCTACGAGCCAACGAAGACCGCCATTTTGGTCGCTCGGCCGAAATTGCGGCTATAAAGTGCAGCTTATGTCCTTATGTTCCTTCGTCGGTTGGTCCTACAACTCCACTGTCCTCCTGGTTGGCCTCATAGCTGCTCGGCCAGCTCGCTCACTCAGTCGCGCCCTGGAACTGCACCATCTGAACGAGAACGCGGAGCTTTATCTCACTCGTTCCTCACACCTATCCCGATCGAATCGCTGGAAGCGGCAGTTTTCCCCCGAATCGTGGAATTAAGGACGGGGAAGGAGCTAGGCGAGTACTACGGACGACACTCAGGCCATCGCGCGAACTCTGACGACTTTGAGTCGATGAAGCTTGAAATCGTTTTGCAATCGGCGACGATTTCTCGACTTCATCGTCTCGAGATCGTGGTCGGAGCGATGAATGACCTCTTTCTTTTCATTTCTCCAAACGCGGGAGAATCCCTTCTGGCAAAGTGCTCTATCAACCTCCACATGTGTTATTAAACTTCCATTTGGAGGAAACGACCGGGACCGGATCGTTATTTTCCGTTCTCCTCTTCGACCAGGAGACATCGTAGACGACTTGAACTCACTCAGCGGGAAGAGAGGATGGAGGAGACGGCGACAACGTCCGCGGAGGTTTGAGACGATTTCTCCCTGGAGACTTCGAGGGCCATCTCTCGGGAAAGGCCTCTGCCGGTGCTCAGTGATAGAACATCGCTCTTCCCTCATTCTGCATATTCAGTCTTAGGGAGATTCTGCATTGGAGGACTCTTGGCGGGAACTCCATACTCTGCAAAACTCCCGGGCCGGTTCCCAGGACCGGCCGGGGGAACCATCGTCGGCGTTTATCATCGGAAAAGAAGCGCAGAAGAAGTCCATTACACAGCTCGCGTTCAAGTCGAGAAATTCTTCCGGAGGGTCGATACCGTGGTCTCGGACATCACATCGCATCGCCCTGGACTAACCGTACAGGACAGCCGGCTGGAGTACAGCGCGAATGCGTCCCCAGGACAATCGGTGGAGCTCTGGAAGATCAAGTCACTCCCAGGATTTTATGAAACGATGAGCGATACTTGAACAGAGCTAATCCATGAATTATTCATTCATGTGAGGATAGCTCAATTACAAAGTCGACCATTAGCATGCAGAAGAGGGTATCGCCGATTAGGGTTGGAGGAACGATTAGATGGCATGGACTAAGTCGGTTAGAGGGTGTCTCAGATGGAGCCACTTCCACTTCATCTAGCTCAACTTGTCCGCCTAATTGTCCCTTAACGACACTTCGGACGTACCGTCGAGCTCGGGCGTGATCTGAACACGTCCGCCTCTCGCGCCGATTTTCCTCGGAAACCGATCCGGGCTGCTTGATCTCCGAAAATTCCCGCAAACTCGGGAAGAGATCGAGATATGCGGGGAATCCCATGGCGGAATCCGGACGAGAGAAGAAAGGGGGAGGGGGAGACAGCTCGCAGAGAGGGGATGAGGAGAGCAGGAGGAGCAAGATACGATGACTATTGTTCTGACAGGCTGGGTGAAATGTGATGAAATAGATCGAAGCAATGTTTACTTAGCAGTAAGTTCTCCATCCTCCCAGGAACAATGACATCCAGGAGCAAAGTGGGGACTTGGAGGGCTCTTTGACTGGTGGTGGGTTGGCCGCTCTGAGATCTCATTCAAAAGTGTAGGCACACGAAGGAACGTGTCAAAAAAGCTTTTGCCTCTTCTCTTTCGAGGGCGACAAATTACGGAGCGAATAACATCACATGTTATGCGCAACGTATTGCGAGATTGCCAACGAGGTCACGTGACCAGACAGGCGTCGACCGACCCCGAGGGCGCCAGCAACAACGACTATTAACATTTAAATCGGTAGCCTCGAAAGCTGCTCACAGGCTCCCGTCCTCCCGCCCGTAGCTCCGCTCCTAGAATCGACTTGTTCCTTGTCCTCATCATCGACGCTTGATCTCTCCTCTCCCTCTGGATCTCTCTTCTCCCCATCCCTCCCCCACCAGGAAGCAATGAGTCAACATTAAGTGGCTCGAAATATATACCCCATAGCGGAACTTCGTTCAAGAACAGGAGGAGTGAGAAATTCGTTTGGGGTAGATCGGGAGAGGGGACGAGGGGTCGAGGGTAGCAGGAGACAGCTCGCGGAAGAGAGAAGAGGAGATCTCTCTCTCGCTGCTGGTGGAATCTCCGCAGCTGTAGCAGCCGTCGCCGCCGCGCCAGTGACATCGAGAGCCGAATTACTCGCTTCGT